GTGTAGCTAAATACATCTTAGTACTAATAGTATTTAGATAGTAATTAAAGGTTTACTAATACTTTAGTTTTATATTTATTATTTAATAGTAAAGCTTACTTATTTTTAATTAAACACTTAATTTTATAAATAAAAGTTAAAAAGAACTTATTTTTTTTATGTTAAAATAAAAAGCATTTACTAAAATAAAAGTAATAGTAAAAGAATAGATGTTTTTTAGACCTGTTCTAGACATCTTAACAGATGAGTAGATTAACAATTTAAGTGTCTTTAGACTATAAGTAATAGAAGAGTAGTATAATTTTAGTAGCCTTAGTAAACCCTTGATGCAGTTAATTATTAGGCTGTATAACTACTAAATGTAGTTCTTTTTCTATAGTGCGTTATGTTGTCTACTATCTAACTCTACTTCTTTATTACATGTAGGCTAGTTTAATTGCATAAGTAAAAGCAGTAAAGGTTTATTAGTAGTAAGATACTTATTAGGCTATATAATCTAATTTTTTTTATATCTAGTTAAAGTTTAAAATAATATAACGTACCTAACAGGTTAGCTGGCCACACAGGTTAGCTGGCCACTTTTGCTAAGCCCCTACTAAACTCTACCTATCTACATAATGCCTTAACAACAACACTAGATTAAATCTTCTAAAGAATGTTAGATATAGCTTGCTCTTTAGGCTTTTAAATAAGACTTAAAACTTTTCTTACAACGCGCTGCAGCTATCTATAATGTCTTTTACACAACACTAAGCAATTAACGCGCTAGACAGCCTTTACAAGCAGAATGCTAGCCTAAATTAAGGAATCTAACTAAGCTTAAAAAAAAGGTAGTTGTTAAGTACATACTTAAGCTTATTACACGCAGATTTCCCTCTAGGCTTGTAGCTATAGCTAATATAGCTAATTCCTTACCTGTAGAGCGCAATCTAGGCTAGGTTAGCTTAAACTAGCCTAGTATGTAGGTTAAGCACTGCTCTAAGTTTACAATAAAGTTTAATTATAAGTATAATTATAAGAGAGCGCTTTATAAGGATCTAGAGGTTATCTAAGGCTAGTTTTGCCTAGTAGCTAACATAAAAGCTAAGTACAGTATCTAGGATAAAGACACATATAACTTTAACAAGTTAAGCTTTATAATAGGCTAGATATTAACTAAAGCAGTTGTTATAGCTTTAGAGAGACAAGGACAGCTAAAGGCAATATAGTAAAATAATAAAAAGTAAATAATAGTTATTTAAAGCATTAACATAATAAGGTAGGCTATAAGATTACAAAGCTTTAAGCAGTAAATAAGGCTGCTATATAACATAAATTACATAAAAGGAAGCAGATTTAGGTAAAAAGAACCTTAATAGTTAAGAATAGAGCTTGTCTAACTGCTCTAAAGGAGTTTAGAGCGTGTAGTAATAGAAAAAAGCTAAAGACGCAAGTGCGCACTAAAAAAAGTAAGCTAAGTTAAAGGCAATATAGGCAGTATAATTAGACTAGGCATAACTTGCGTATGTGTAAGTAAGTAGTAGAAGTAGACTCTAAATAATATCTTATGTTATATTACTTTATATAGGGCTAAAGTAGGCTGTTTTGCAAGAGAATAGAGTAGTTTTAGTAGGGGCTTAGCAAATGTAGCCAGCTAACCTATGTGGCTAGCTAACCTGTTAGGTACGTTAACTATTTAATGCTAATAATATAATCTTATAAGCTAAGGTCTATAATTATAAAGGGGTAGTTTTAGATGCTTCTACTATTAATTTACATATACAAGTAGATATACTAGTAGACAGGAACTTAGATTTAGTCTTACAAGCCCTTAACTATAACTTTAAAAAGTAAATGTTAGATAAGAATATAAAGGCATTAAAATAAAAACTTAGTAGTTATTAAGTTAATAAATAAGAAACTATATGCGCTAGTATTAACTAAAAGATTTAATTAAACTCTAATGCCTTTTAAGCATAAAATAGTAAGGACTTAAAAATAGTTTTTTTTAAATAAGTATAATAAGCTAATATATGCTAAGTTATACTTATTTAAGCCTAAAATAAAAAGTTTTTTTAGGCTTTTTTATTTTTTATTTAAAAAAAGTCTAGCTTATAATTATTTATAATTATAAACTTTTCTTTAAATTTCTATTACTTTACTATAATTTTTAATTTTAACACTTAGTTTTTTTATTAGCTTAAGAATAAAAAGCTATACTAAGCTAGTAGTTAATTTTTAAGTAGAAGTAGATGTTTAACTAAAACTAACTAGTAAAGATTAAACTATAGTTAAAAATAAAAGTATCTAGTAGTTCTATCTTTATAAAGAATTACTTTTTTTAGAAAGGTAGCTAGTTTTCTTACTATAATAGTCTTAGTAATAAGAAGGTGTCGCGTATACTGAGAGCCTTGGCTGGGGCTCAGAGCCTGGGACTGGGGCTCAGAGCCTGGGACGCAGCTCGGGATCTAGAGATATTATGTTCCGAAGCTCAGTGTATATAAGGAGAGCCCTTAGCTCTCTTAGATAGCAGAGTCACTTTATCTAATCTTCTAAACAGCTACTGCTAGGCTATTTTATTCTCTACAGTTATAGGCCTAGCGCTTTAAGAACCTAAGATAATTTTTTATATATAACTATAGCGCTAGCAAAAGCTGTTTAGAAGCCTTATTTCTTATTCTTATTAATTCTTATTACCTTTAAAGCCTATATTATAGCTAATTAAGATGCTCCTCTCCTAACAGGAGCATACTAGCTTAAGGACCACGTGAGCTAGCCTCTCTAGTTTATCCAGCTCTAGTTCCATGCTCTTAGCAAAAACCTATAGGACATAATTAATCTAGATAGACTAGACGCTCTAAATCCTATAGACAGCGCTCTAGAAATGCCTACACTTAAAGCAATTACTACTAAGAACTCTCTAGAAAAGGCTAACATATAGTACTAGACTAATATTACTAAGTACTAAGCTTAATTAAGCAACTAGGCTTTCTGCGTAACGCGTTTTTAGACAATCTAGAACTAGGTTAATGCAACTGTCGCACTAGAGCTCCTTAGACCTATAATAATGCAGCTTATATTAGAGAACTAATCTACTTTATAAGCACTTATACAAGCCTTAAAACAAGAGCTAGCACTAATAAACGCAAGCACAAAGAATCTTATATAAGTAAAGTATAAAGCTTACCTTACTAAGGCAAAGCATAGCACTATAACTTTAAAAGCTTAGTACTAGCAGTAGCACTTTCTATACACTAAGGTAAGAACTTATAAGATTCTTAACATAGAAGGCTAGCTAGCTGCATAAGACTTTCTAGACGCCCTAGCTCTAAAGCTTGCACTAGACTAGGCGCGCTCCAGGGTTGCCGTTTACTATAGTAATAGTAATTACTATTACTATAGTAATTACTATGCAACCTTTTAGCTCTAGTAATAGTAATTACTATTACTATAGTAATTACTATAGTAATCTAGTAATTACTATTTACTAAAAATAGTATAAAAGTATAACATAAGTCTTAATTAGCTATTTAAAATTTATAGCACTTTTAACTTTATTTTTCTTATTTTACTTAGA